AAAAAAAAACATGGTTACTATAGTTAAACTTTAGCAACCACAAATTAACCATGGTTTTGTTACATTAACCATAGTTTAACCATGGTATTTGTGGTAAAACTGTGGTTATACAAATGGGAATCAATACGCCAGAAAAAAAAAAAAACATGGTTACTACACATTTTCTATATTAAAACCACTAGACCTCGCGTTTTTTTAACGCAAAACTTGTTCTGTATTATTTGAACTTTTTTCGTAGTAGAATCTAATGATAAAGTAATTACAATTAATACAATTAAAACAATATAATATTAATATAATAAAATTAAAAAACAATTCAAACTCAGATCAATATATTTTTTAGCCCATATATTTAATTATTTATTTTGTGATAATGGCAGACTGATTTTACATTATTACTTGGCACATGATAACAATTAAAAACATATATATATTTACTATAGTCTGTAAGGAACAGATATGCCTAAAATGAGAAACATTTTATGATTTAAGGAAAACTTGGAAGGGTCAAACAGTAATTTGCATTAAAAAAACAAAGGGTATTGTTATGTACAGTGTATTGAAATTCATATGAATATCAAATGCAGCTCACAGCTCCAAAATACATTTTGAGCTGAGAACTTACTGAAAAATACACCATTGGGTGTTTATCAGAGACAGCATCGGTGTTATTCATGACAATAAATGATGAATGAATAAAATAAGTATCACAATACATATTGTGTTGACACACTGCAATTTAAAGGCCTACACCTATTACAGCACCAAACAATGAACAAAGGCCTAGTGCAATAACTCATACTTTACAGAGACACTCTGGAGTATTGTTTACACGCATTTTTCTCTTTATTTAAGGGCCACTGTGATCTCTACCATCATAAAGGGCCGAGGCCCAATCAGCGGGAACGCCGCGTAAAGCGTCGCTATGATTTTATGTTGATTTGCATCATGTTTCTTACTCACACTTGCCTAGTTTAATCAGGCTTATAAATCGAGCGCTATAGCATGTCCCACATTCTCCTGGTGGCAGAGAGCTTAGCGTTGTAAATTTCAGCTGGGCTAAAGAGACATTTGAGGATGCTGGGGGAAATGATAAAGATCACTTACCACTCGACATGCCCGATCCATAAGACCATAATGAGCATTGTATTCTGGAAGTGTTTTCATCTGCACTTTTTTAGTGTGTGGTTTAGAAATTTCTATGCAGAACTATATCATATTTTTATGTTGTTATCATGGAGCTGACCACTCTTTTAAATCCAATATGTAGTTATATAATTAGGTCAAAACCTGGCGCATTAGAACTAAGGACCTGCAAAAATAGCTTCATTATAGCTACAATATGATCTTTTTTAAAAGATAACCTCTTGAATAACAGGTTTCAGCAGCAAAGCAAAGCAATACACAAAGCTTAATTCAGTTTAGCATATGTGGAGCTAATAAACAAACAACATTAACTCACAAAGCACTGTTTAGTGTCACAATCATTTTTAATAGCTTCCATGAGTAGCTTCAGGGCACAGACGTTTGCACTGTATTTAATGGTTGTTTTTCTGAGGCAACTTTGAAGCTGCTTACCAAAAAAACTTTGCCTTTCTGAGGTGCTTTCAAAACTTTGGGAGTGCTTGACAGTGAGAAAAACGTTGGGGGCTGATGCTCGTCAAGTTTTGGGGGAAAAATGCAACAATTGTAGGGGGCCTCGTACAGAGCCTTGGGGGACCTCCTTTCAACACGCTACAGAAATACAGTCTCTCCATCGACAGAAAATGCAGCAGCTTTTATCTTTAGATCCACTGTGCGGAGAACATTCCTCTGAATACACAGCCCATCTTGTGTGTGCGTGTGTATATATGTGTGTATTTGTCTACTGAAAGTGAACTGATCCATAGCCAGGAAGGAATGCAGACTGACAGCTATTAGAGTGCAACTGTGCTGTCTTATCTGCTGCCTGATAGGAATCTACAAAGACCCACTGCAGAGATTATGAATTCATTACAGACAGTCCTCACACACACACACACACACACACACACACACACACAAAGGGGTCTATATATTCACAGTAAAAGGAGAGGTCATTCGTGTTCGCTATCATAAATATTAAACGTTACTGTCTTGTCGCTTTTGAATGAAGGAGAATATGACTGTTTTTCAAAAGATGCAAAGGTAAGGTCATTCCTCCCTCACAGGACCAGAGGGAGAGCAGGTTCAAATGCTAAAAAGGATAGAGATGTACTGTGCTTTCTGTAGTCAACGGTCAGTGGAACAAGTGGGCGTGTCTACAATGTGAAATACGACACTCAGGGATGTCTGCTGTCTCTTTCTCTGCAGGATAACAGCAGAAAGGCTCTTAAAGGACTAAAAGGCAAAAGCATTTAGCAGAACTAAAAGCAAAAAACCAAACAACATGCATATTATAAGGTGCAGAAGCACCGAGGCAATATGTTTCAGATGGTGCCAAAGAGACTGAAAGAAAAGGAATGTCAGGTAGAGGAGGAGAATGGATTTGGAAATAGTTTACCTAAAAATACACTCACCCTCACATCGTTTCAAAGCCAGACGGGTTTCTATCTTCCAGGGAACACAAAAGGAGATTTAGAGCAGATTTTTCCCCCCTATTTTCCACACAAAAACAACCATAGAGTGACTGCACTAAACTGTATTTATCTTCAGAAAAGAAAAATGAAGTATTAAATGAATCTATACATCACTTGCACTATATTCCCAGCTTTCAAACATTATACAAAAGCTGAGAGACAGACCAAAATAAATTATTATTATAATATTAAATGACCTATTATTAAAACACTATTAGTTATGATTAGAATATATCAGTTCTCAAATGTCACTTACATATATATATTCAAATTAGTGTAATCCATGGTTATTTTGTATTATTTAAATGGCTTTTATTCATGTTTTAAATTAGCTTTTATTTTTATACTTTAATTTTAGTTACATTTTTAGTAAATGTATGTGCTTTTGTAAATTTCATTAGTTTTTATTTGTTTTAAATATTATAATTTAGATTGCATTTATTTTTATTTCAGTTTTATTTTTATTTATTTATTTATTAAACTAAATAAAAAATAGAATAGCTTTTTTGGCAATTAATTGAAATAAGTTAAGTTTTTCATCTAATAATCATAATTTATTTTATTTCAACTAACAAAAATGTTCAATAGTTTTAGTTTAGATTTGTTACCCTGACCTTGGCGTAATCAACTATTATGGATGTCACTGTTGGTGTAAAATGTTCCCGTTTCAGGATTTGAACATGCACAAATGCGAATTGCTAAAATACAATTCATATGACATCAGAAATGTAGCGTATAACTCATATGGACTACATTTCAAACTCACTTATGGTGCATTTTTATGGTCCTGTCTGAAATTTGACGGCCCTGATCTTTATATACATTTGTTGGAAATGAGCAGCGTCAACATTCTGCCAAATATCTCATTTTGTGTTTTACAGAAGAAAGAATTCATAGGGTTTGGAGTGACGTGAGGGTGAATAAATGATGACAGGATTTTCATTTCATACACCTTGCAAGGAGAGCAGGCGGGCTGCAGGAAAGACAGTAACGGAAAGAAAGGGGAGCTCAGGAGATGTGTGTGTGTGTGTGTGTGTGTGTAAGGGCATAGCAATTTTTAAATTGCAAATGTTTTTCATTGCAATAATCACAATGTTAGTTAATTTGACATTTTAAGCAAATAATCTAGAACATACTATCACAGAGCCCCAGACAAACAAACGTTCTGTCCAATCTTGATTCAAGCTTGTGTTTAGGACTATAGTCCTGTCGGTTTACACAATGGCGGGGCAAAGAAAA